ACTTTAGAAGAAACGTCATCAATGCTTGTAGCAGATATGTTTATAAAACACTAAAGTTCCTGCTAAAGCCTGAGTAGACTGATTAATAAATGTGATGATCAGTTATTAATCTCAGTGTTACTGAGCTCTGCTAAAGCCTGAGTAGACTGATAAATCAATATGATCAGTTATTAATCTCAGTGTTACTGAGCTCTGCTAAAGCCTGAGTAGACTGATAAATCAATATGATCAGTTATTAATCTCAGTGTTACTGAGCTCTGCTAAAGCCTGAGTAGACTGATAAATCAATATGATCAGTTATTAATCTCAGTGTTACTGAGCTCTGCTAAAGCCTGAGTAGACTGATAAATCAATGTGATCAGTTATTAATCTCAGTGTTACTGAGCTCTGCTAAAGCCTGAGTAGACTGATAAATCAATGTGATGATCAGTTATTAATATTAGTGTTACTGAGCTCTACTAAAGCCTGAGTAGACTGATTAATAAATGTGATGATCAGTTATTAATCTCAGTGTTACTGAGCTCTGCTAAAGCCTGAGTAGACTGATTAATAAATGTGATGATCAGTTATTAATCTCAGTGTTACTGAGCTCTGCTAAAGCCAGAGTAGACTGATAAATCAATGTGATGATCAGTTATTAATATTAGTGTTACTGAGCTCTGCTGAAGCCAGAGTAGACTGATAAATCAATGTGATGATCAGTTATTAATATTAGTGTTACTGAGCTCTGCTGAAGCCTGAGTAGACTGATAAATCAATGTGATGATCAGTCATTAATCTCAGTGTTACTAAGGTCTTTGAAGGACGATTGACCTGAAGTCTCCTCAGTAGTGGGCGTGTTCATAAGTAATATGTTTAGTGTTGTGCTGGACTCATGCATGCATGATGTTACATACATGTCATTAAACTGAAAATCAAATCGCTACTCACTTTACATTCAAATTTGCTTTTTTTTGTTGGGATATGCCAAAATTTTGTATGTGACTTATTAAGATGTGTTCCGAATGTATTCTGAATATGTTATTTTTCCTTTACACCTAACAGAAAATTAGATGTTAAATTCAGAACACTGTATTCAAGATTCAGCCATCACTACCTTTTCAAAGTACTCTGCCCAGTACTGGTGTTAATAAGAAGTGAAAACACTGAACTACGTTGGGAAGAGGATCCTCAGAATTAGACCCGAGAACCCACACTGAAAACCAAGTTGTTTGCTGCAGCTGTGCAGCTGCTAGTCATGTTGCACTCTTTAGAAACCCTGCGAGTGGTAGGATGTTGGGCTTCACTCACTACAACTGAAAACCACTGATCTGTCAGGGAAAGGAAGAGCCAAAGAAAGGGCGTGGTCAATTGTAACCAAAGAAAAAGGAGAAACAGATGGAGTATTTTCTTTTATTGTACACATTGACAATTAAAATAGCATTAACGATTTATACAAAAAATTGACAATAATTACAGTGACCAAGCTGATATAGTAAAATCTGACAAAAAATGTGATTAAGCTAAAAGGAAAATTGACTGAGCAGCCTGATTGTTACATTTCAAAGTAAAGTGGCCCCAGTTAGAAAAATTTAAGTTTGAGTTTTTTTGTTTTTTAAGGGGGAAAAGTTGACAGGATATGGTTCATAATTCATAATTCGCCTCAATCAAACGTGTTGATTTCCTGGGCATCTGAGGAATTGATTGACAGTTCGCTGAGAAGTTGCCCTTTTGGCGGCCTACACACAAGCAGTGGCATTCTCACAGGACGAAAACTCTGCAAAGAGCCCAGTTTTGTAAATCCTTGGTCAGCCCGGAGTGTTGGTTATCCAAAGTGTGGCTAGCCTAAACCTTGATGCGTGAGCAGCAGTAGGCCACAGCTGAGCTATAAGCTTTCTGAAGTAAAAGATTCATCCATGGTGCATCTTTGCCTTCTCTTGCACCGACTGTGCTCGGCTCTAGGCCCACGCCTCCCCAGAATTTAGAAAAGTAAGCTCTTTGGGTGATTTGGCTTTGTCCGTCTTCGCCACTGATTGTCTCAAGTCCGTCTTGGTCATCTAACTTCGGCCAGCCTCCTCCGATGCGCTTACCAGTCGCCGTGAAGGACTGAGCTGAGCAGGCCGATGGGCAGAAGCAGGCTGAGTCCGGCGGGCAGCACCATGGAGCCCGCCCCGCCTGCAGAAGTGTGGTTTGTCCCATTTTTGGTGGTTACGGGGGTCAGAGTGGTCGAACTAAAACTCGTGGCATTAGTCATGTTGCTAGACGATGTGTTATTCTGACAGTTGACCTGCGTAAAAAACAGATGAGAAATGGTCTTTAAGAAAAAGCAGGACGGTCAGAACAAAAGAGCCTAAGAAGTGAGGAAAAGAGGCTTAAACAAGGTTGGTGCTCTGAAAGTCAAATCAGAGCCTGGAAATCTGGAAATGCAGAAAATGTCTACAGGCCTGCTCAGGATGGCCCCACCCAAAAGTATAGTAACATTATGTAAATGAATGTATCATATGTGTGTGTGAAAATATAT